CCGGAGGTGGGATAACCTCTTGGGAGTCGGCAAGGAGAAAGTGATGGAAGGGAAGTAGGACTCCGGAAGTCGGAGTTCGGAGTTCCAGGAGCCCGGAGTGGAGGTCGGGATTGTATGGATATGACAGACACCGCAAGTGTCCAGCTCTGAGGTAGGGCCGCCCCCGGACAGAGGCCGGGCCCTGACACACAGCCATCGACTTCCACTACCTCCAAACTCTCCAGACTACCTCCGCTCCTTCACTAACCTTGGAGCTCCCGTATTCCGCAATCACCTCCGCTTCCCTTGATGGTCACCACCCCCTCTTTTCAACATATTACCTACACCTCCCTAAGTATGGAGCCCCGAAGGCTTCTGGACAGCTCCAATGTCCGCTAGTGCACTCCCGCCTCTGCTGGGCAATTCACTCACTTGCCCTGCAAGCCCACCTTCGGGCCTATCCCTACTTTCCGTTTCTGGGTTATCACCTACCATTCCGCTAACCCTGTAACCCGACTTGTCGGTAATATTCAATCGGCTAATGTTTAACTCCGTTAGCTCCACTCCACTCGGCCCTGCCATTTACAGGCCCACCCTCACTGTAACTATATATACTCAACTTGTACATACAGTGGGCAACAAAACTGTTCACATGTTTTGCTGTTTTGAAAAGACACACTCATACAGGCTTAGGAGAAATTCTGAAAATTCTGAGAAATTCATAGAAGATGCTCTGACATCACAAAATGCTGCTTCCATCAGCCCAAGGTCATATACCCATTTATGGCAATGTAATTGTCAGATGAAGTCACCCATTGCATGTGAACAGTTTTGTTGCAGGCAATAATTCTACTATATTAATACTTGGTATACCCCCCCTTTGCCTTGATTACAGCTTGTACTCTTCTAGGCATACTTTCTATTAAGTTCTGACACACCTCCTTTGGTATCTTCTCCCATTCCACCTGACAACGATCCCAGAGCTCCCCCACACCACTTGCAGGAGTTTCATAGTCAGCCAACCTCCTTTTCACATGCCACCAGAGATGCTCTATGGGGTTAAGGTCTGGGGACTGTGCTGGCCACTTCATAACAGTGTAGTTATGACCTTGGAACCACTTCTGAGCAAGTTTGCTGCAGTGCTTTGGGTCATTATCCTGTTGGAAGATAATGTCCTCAGGGGTTTTGTTGTAGAATTTGAGGGATTGCTGGAGTTCATCTTCCAAAATGGAGCAATAAAGCTGTGCATCCATCTTCCCTTCAATCCTAGTGGCATACCCAACACCCTCCCACAGCATGCAACCCCACATCATCACATTTCCACCACCACACTTCACTGTTCCCTCAACCTGCCTATCAGTAAGACCCTCTTGTCAGGGACGGCTCCGAAAGCGGTGAGGTCCCAGCGTGCGGGACTCGGTGGGACGGATGACGGCTATGCGTAGCGGCGATCCCGTCGCGGGGTGAGCGTCCCCGACCACTTAGTCTGAAGTGGAAATGTGAGTCATCATTAAAGGGGAATGCTACACTACTTGCCTGAAGTGGAAATGTGAGAAGAAGGCTACTTCTTCGGTTCCCACTCCAGCTGTTATTATATACATGCGGGAATGATCACGTGGGGTGCGCCACGTCACCCTTGCACACAGCCATGGCTCTCCGGGTGCTTCCACGGAAGATCCCGAGAGGGCCCGCTGAGGGTGCAAGGCGAGCGCGGTGGCGGTGCGGCGGTGTAGGGATGTAAGATACAGGAGGGGAGATGGGCGTGTGCGCCGATGATACATTGAGCAGAGAGAAAGGTGGTCCGTGTAAGAGAAAGAGAGAAAGAAAGAAAAAGAGGAGAGGAGAACAGGAGGAAGGAAGAGGAAGAGGAGGGAGAGGCGGTGCGGAGCGGGGAGGCGGGGCGTGTCAGGGCATGCCCTGACACCTCTCCTGCCTCTTTCCACACCCACTTCCTGCCATCTGACCCAAGGCAATTGATTTTGGTCTCATCAGACCACACCACCCTCTTCCAGTCATCCACAGTGTACTCCTGGTGCCTCTCAGCCCACAGCAACCTTGCCTTCCGATGGGCTGGTTTCAGAAATGGGCACTTCTTCTTCACCACAGGCCTTAGACCAGCCTTCCGAAGATGACGACGAACAGTTTGGGGAGAGACAGAGAGGCTTGTGACATCCTGAAGAGATTGGGTCACTTGGACTGCATTATCAGCTTTCTGCATGCGAATGAGACGCTTTGCATAGGTGATGTTGGCAGGTGTAAGCTTTGTTGGACAACCACCAGTGGACTTGGCAGCATCAGGGCAATATGCAGAGCGGATTTTTGAGATAGCTCCAATGCTAGCACCAGTAATCTTATGAATGGAGTGCCCAGAGGTGCCAGAGAGTAGCAGAGTAATGATGTGTTCATGAGTAGCAGGGGCAAGAGGGCGCATGGTGGAGTGTGAGGGAAAGAATCAAAAAAGGGCCAGTATTTATGCTGCGGAACAAACCAATCATGTGACTTTGTTGATACCTGTGTTTAATAAACAAAGTCATGTGACCAGAGTCAAGTATAGCCCTGCTTCTGCATTAAGAAAGCCAAGGCAACAAAACTGTTCACATGCAATGGCTGACTTCATCTTACAATTACATTGCCATAAATGGATGTATGACCCTGTGCTGATGTAAGCAACATTTTGAAATGTCAGAGCATCTTCTATGAATTTTTCAGGAATTTCAGAATTTTTCCCAAGCCTGTATGAGTGTGTCTTTTCAAAACAGCAAAACATGTGAACAGTTTTGTTGCCCACTGTAGGTTACACCTCAGTAATAAAATCGACCCCCCTTAGTTCTCGTTGCCAATAAGTAAATTAGGGCACAGATGTGTAACTGGGCACAGCGCTCCTGGCTTGAGTCGCTGAGGCTGAAGCCCTCTGTCACGGAGACAATCCCTTGTCTTGATCTGGTCTCTGACACTAGGGCGCATTGACGGAAGTGACAGATATGCTGGGTCATGACACCCCATTTGCCTCAGGCCTCAGTTAGTCCATCTAGTTATACACTTTGATGGGCTGTATATTAATGGGGTAGAAGTAAAGGCTGATCTACCTTTTACAGCTACCCCAAGGGTTTATATACATTCTAATGCATTCTTGGCACAAATAAATAGAGAAGCTTCCGCGACGCTAAATTAGCGTTGTGACATAATTATCAGACAACACAACATCAATTGATGTTGTGGGCGGAATATAGACATGGGCTGGGGCCTCACAGGTCCCATCATGAGGTGAGCATCCCCAACCACTTAGTCTGAAGTGGGAAAGTGAGAAGAAGGCTGCTTCTTCTGTTCCCACCCCAGGTGCTGTTATATACATATGGCTGAGGTCATGTGGAGGGAGCCACATCATCTCTGCACACAGCCATGCCTCTCCAGGTGTCTCTGCAGGAGATCCTGGGGGTGGCCACTGTGTGGGTGGGGATGTGCACAGTGGGTGCAGCGATAGAGGCAGTGGCATTAGGGTGTAGTGGTACAGGAGGGGTGTGCAGTGTTCCCAGGTATGTGGGTGTGCTGGTGGTACATAGAAAAAGAGGAAGTGGACCATAGAACAGAAATAGAGAGAAAGAGGAAAGGGGAAAGAAGAAAGAAGAAAGAAGAGGGGAGTGATGGCAGGGGGAAGCAGAGTAGGGTAGGTGTTAGAACTGAGTGAGGGCAGACAATTCTGGAGGGGAACTGGAGACTTAGCAAGGAGGGACCTTGGCCTCAGCGACTCATGCAGAGTGCTGTGCCATTGCTATTTGTCCATTTGGTCCTTAATTTCAGGGGCAGCAAGCAGGAAGTCTCTAGGGGGCATTTCAGGTCGATTTTAGACTGAAGGTCCAAAACGAGTATGTACAAGCGCCTGTATATAATAGGGAGACAAAAGCACAAGGGAAACAAAGGGGATCCGAATTGGAACGAAGGCATCTGAATGGGAACAAAGGGGTGGTGGAAGCGGAGTGGTACCAAAGGTCATAGGGAGGGTGAAGCCCAGAGGGGCAGGAGGGTGAGGTGAAGTGGGGATGATGACTAACTGGCTAGAATGGAGAGAAGCAGCAGTCCAAATAAGGATGAGGGGAAAACGTGAAAGATACATTACATACGGTGAAAGTGCCAAGTATGATCTGTGGAGCTCAGAGGTTACGGAGCTTACAGAGCTTATGGAGGTGGGGTTGAAAGTCCAAGGAATATTGGCAATGGTGTTTACGTAGTATGAGGTCACCAATGCAATGGACTTAAGCCGAGGTGGAGTCAAAGTCCGAGGTCGGAACTATGACGGAGTCTCGGAGCGAAGGTACGAGCAGTGTCCGAGTACAGGGTAAGGGACAGCAGCAGAAGGTCGTAACTTGGCAGAGGGTTGGCGGGAGAGGGTCAGAGGAAGGAGAGAGAAGAGAGGAATGGGGAGAGGAGTGGAGGAGAGGAAAGGTGTCAGGTCTGAAGGTGAGTATCAGAGCGGACAGGAGAAGGGTAGGAGAGTGATGGAAGGGTGGAGGTGTCGTGAGGAGTAAGAGGAGGAGGGTGGCGAGAGGAGTGATGTTCAGTCTGAGGTGAGTATTGGAGCAGATGGAGAGAAGGTAGGGGAAGGATGGGAGGGTGGAGGTGGCATGAGGGGTAAGAGGAGGAGTGGTGTCAGGTCCGAAGGTGGATATCGGAACAGACAGCAGTAGGGTAGGACTCCGGAGGTGGTGGAGATGGGGGTCCGGGAGTCGGATCGGGATCGGGTATGTATGGATATGACAGTAGGGCAGCACAGGGTGCAGCACAGGGTCAGGTGGGGTATGCCCTGACACAAACTACATAATTATGCCAGGGCAGAGTGACACTGCTGTGCAGGTAACAGAAGTGGCCAAACTGAATGTGGACCATTTGCTGATTAGTAGCCCTATCTGTGCAAAAAACACCTTTGATAGGGTCTCAGCCTTAAACAACTAGCCTGCATGAGACTAATGCACAAAATTTATTTGCAAAAAGCAACACACAAAACCCAAGGAACACATGCCATGGAATCAATTGTATACAAACCATGGATGTTGTAGCACTTCAGTCATAAAGGTCCTGCTGTCCTGAAGATTATACCTTAACATCTTCTCCAACAGATCTCCGAGAAGCTCAACCTCCGCTTCTTCAAGTCTCGTCCCTGTCTTCTCAATCATGTCCCCTTCATCAACATCGGGGGCATCATCCCACTGCCCGATCTCGCGCAATCTTTCACGAAGCGAAGTCTCGACCGCAGTCAGTAACACTCCTTCTTTTCTCTGTTCTTCTTCTGGCTTCGCTTTGCCTGTCTTGTCAAACCATGGTTGTCGGGCCTGCCAAGAACTCCACCATGGGTCTGGGAACCTCCCCAGCGTTTCAACAATTTGTTTGAGGATTATGGTATCGCTACCGAGAAAGGGGTCAAACAGCGACGATCCTGCTCTGGTCTCAAATATTGTGCATGCCAAGGCCCAGACATCGGAGGCGAAGCCAATTTTTGAGTCAAAAAATGCGTTAGGGGAGAGGTAATGGAGCGGAGTGGCGGGCACATAGTTTGGCGGGGGGAGATCTGTGAGCAAGGACTGGCCAAAATCAACGAGGAGGGCGTCCTCTTGTAGCAGCGATGGAGTGGAAAGACGGGAGATGTCGATGGCAGCCACGACCTGTAAAGGACGGTTATGAATGACGATGTTTTCGAGGGTGGGACCACCCAAGTTTCGGTAGACATCATCGTTAGACCACTGGTGGACTGTATCGGATACTTGGAAGAGGATGTTGGATGGCGTGAGGTCTGCATCAAAGAAAGAGTTAACGCGAAACGGATGGCCAAGACAATCTTTTTTGTTTTTTGCAAACCTCCATGGACGATTCCTGCTAAATGTAAGAGATTCACCGCATTAGCCACTTGTCTCGCGACCTTCCTCGCCAAATCTGCTCGAAGCCGCCTGCTACCGGACATTCTTCCCGGACATTCAAGAATAGCGAATAAACTAGGTCCGGCGAATTGAGAAATTAGACAAAGGTGGGACCCGTTTGGACCTTCGTGTGAGAAATGGTCCCGGATGACAGGGAGATGCTGTCGGCCGGGATGAAGGGTTCCGGAGGATTTGTCCAATGCTCGGGAAACATATAAGTCTGGGATCCCCATTGGCTTGGATGACTGTTCGGCAGACAGGATTTTAAGAGTCACAAGACTTCCTGAGTCATTGGAGAACTTTTGATCTCGAGCGAGCCAGACGGTGGATGAACCTCCGAATCCCAACTTGTGCAGGACCTTGTATCGACCTGCAAAGACATCCCCAACCGACACGGGGTGGTACCCGCCAGGGCGATATTTCGTGAGATCCTCGATATTGTCGAGCCGTGGATAAGGGATATGAGTAGGCATGGCGTTAAGTAGTCGGCACTGAAACAGTGAACAGGCGGCCGTTCGCGAGCGCATTGCCAGCAAATGTAACAACATGTCGGAAAACACTGAGGCTTAACAGACACAAACAACGATATCATCCTACTGTCACTGACGGAGTGATTCCAATTTGAGCATATCAGGACCCCCGCTTGTTGCACTTTTCCCTGATAACTTGGTTTCTGCTATAAGGGAATCATTGTGTTACTTACCCTTTGAGGCCCAATGCGATTTAAGTTCATTCTTCGATATGGATGCATGCAAACAACGCCGAACATTAGGTTATGTGAAGTGCAGGCGAGTATTATAACCATCATGACTCTAAGGGTCAAGTCGGAGTTGCAAAATCGTGTACAAAGATGGATGAAAATCTGAAGTGAATCGATCAGCACAGACAAAACGAACAAAAAAAGAAACAAAGGAGAGCAAAAATGTTACAATAGATTATGATACTGTAGCGGGAATGAATTCCTCGGGGAGGAGGCCGAAATGAAGGGGAAGGATCAAGCATTCAGAGGTGGCATCTTCCGTTTTTTGCTCAGACTAACATCACGGACTCGAAGTGATCCTTTACAATAGCGGTGAGGACTAATAGGACGGAGAGGCTATCAATTAGAGGACAAGAAGGCAGGAAGCAACTCAAAGCACGTACCGTTGCCTAGCATTTTTCGAGTGTCGGCGGTGTTCTATGTGGGGATTAATTCTGTCTCCAAAATGCAGTATAGTAGGTACCTACAACGACAGTCGTTTGATGCACGTAAAGCTACGATGATGTGATAAGTGAGTGAATCAACGACTCCACCCGGCATGACGTACTTGACGACCTTGCCCCTGATGTCCGGATTCTGAGGGCGGATTGCTCTTCCGGAAAACCGTCTGAAAGTGCGATTGGAAATACTTCACTACCGTGTCCACATCGTTCTCCCGATTTCCATACGTCGGGATACTTAATGTAGTTGTCAATCCCTCATCCAGGATTCAAGTCAGAACGGAGACTTACGATTTGCGCACTTTCGCCCCGTTCTTTAGTTTCTCCTTCAGGATATCAATCTTATTCAAAAAGAGAACGATATGGGTTCGCTTGAGTAGTGGCGACGAGCAGACGATGGAGAATAATTTCATCGAATCTTCGATACGATTTGTGGTTGGGTCCTCGTCCAACCATTGGTCAAACGCTGACACAGGACACAGGAAGATGATAGCTGTTGCGTTGTCGAAGTACGGTATCCATGCATGTCTCTAGAAACGCATCAGTGGGACTCAGACACCAGAAGCGGATCGTCGAAGAGGACGGAGCTCTTACTTGTCTTCTTGTCCCACCAACATCAACTATCCGCCATGTCCGCATCTTGGCCCCAAACTGGAGCTGATATGTGTATTCAGCAATGCCGACTGTACGAATGCGGGCGTAAAGAATATCGTCATTCGTAGGAACAAAGTCAAGAGAGGATATCCTATCTATTTCGTTCATGAAGCTGCCCAAAGTAATGTAACATGAGTCAATCATGGGCCGAAGCAAAGACACTCACAAATCAGATGATTCTTTCACAACAATCCTGCCCTTCATCATCAATCGTTGGACGGTAGGGTGGTTCCATAACAAATGGATATCGTCCTTGCATGCCTCGATCAATCTTGATGCTTCATACAGCTGCTCGTCAATCTCCAAGCTTGGACGACCTTCAGGGATTCCGCGCTTTCTTCGAGCCTTCGCCTCTGAGCCTGTTCCGCGAGGTCGTAACTGCTGCCACCCACGACGAACAAACATTTCTTGACTACCAGTCTCTCCATCTACATGAAAGCCCGCTCCCAAGCGTTCGGCCAAAGTCGATTCGACACTCATCAGGGGCGACAAACGATACCGGAGAGTGAGAAGATCGACGTGGGCACTTGGTTCTCCCGCTGGACTTGGCGTGAATCTTGATGGACCCTCCCACTTGCCTCTATCGTCTTCTGTGAAGCGCCCATGTAGGACGTAATCTCGGTCATTCTGGGTTGGTTCAACAACTTCGAATATCTGTCGCACAGTTGCGATAACATTCACATAACTGGTGGAGGAAGGGCACCGTGAGGGGCAGCGAAAAAGCCACACGGATGAAGGCGGGGGACGTACATGATGCCCCGCCAGGCTGCCCTCTCGCTCTCCAACGTTTGCGGGGCATACAGTATTTGGAACTAGCCCATAGTTACAGCACGGCCTTGGAAGCAGTTGATCAAATCAAACGGACCTGTTTTTGCAATGTCGATTTCCCTGACTCGCTTTGTCCTATGTGTGGAATAAGGATGAACAAACGCTGTTCTGCCGCAGATGCAACAACGGAAAGGACATCACCTAAGAACAAGATAGTAATCTCCTGGTTGCGCTTGCGTTGTTCATATGATGCTTCTGACGCGAGTTCCGAGTCAATCTGAGCACTTCTTACTCGAGCTTTGGCAAGTTCTGAATGTTGCCATGTGTTACCGTCAAAAACTTAATGCCCGCTCGCGTTACGCACCCTCTGACGAAATCCCATATTTGCGCATCGTTGCAAAGGGTTAAGCGTATGTAGTGTACGGAAGGGGGCAGGGGCAGCAGGAAGAGATGGGAGAAGGGGATAGAACAATCAGTAGGGCTTCAGCTTTATAGCGGAATGGTAAATTCTAATTCAAAACGAAGCAGAGGGATGCATGAGGTTTTTGGGCTAGTAGCAGGCAATCAATGATCTTCTATTTGGTAAGGAGAAAATCACATCCGGTGAGAGTTTGGATACCGTCAGGGAGGCAAACCGCAGAACGACGACCTGTTGAAACCAGTGATCGCTATTGAAGAACTAAAATTTTTTCATATTAATAAGCTGATCGCAAACGAATGTTGCCGAGGGCGCTAACACAATAACCAGAGATTTGGAACACCCGCATAAACCATCAGTTTACTGTCCGCTTGATCCTAGGTATCGCCTATGTAATTCAAAGTCGCATATGCGGTTTGCACAAAGGCACTCTTGACGGCAACTTCCGCAGGCTGTTTCCCTTTTGGGCGTAGTCGTTTTGCCTCGCTGCATCTCAGAAGAGACGGCTTAGAGAGGACTTGGTCACGCACTCACCGTCCTCTCCCCGCATCGATGCTGGGGCATGCAACCTTAATGAGCCCAGTCACTGTCTTGCGCACATTGTGCTATGTTCCGGGGATCGCATCTGCTAAGGCCGCGGACGACATGGGCGGACAATGAGTTTAAGTAAACCCTCTGAGAGTGAGGTCGACTTCAGGGTAGCCTGCTGAAAAGATCTCTTTGCCGCGTCAGGATGAAGATGAAAGGGTTGGCATTTACAGGAGGATCTGAATCCGGCCCATTAGGGAAGAGATTCAAATGCAAAATGGAATGACTGACGCGTTTTTCACACCCTTGCATGCTTGAAAAGAGAGCGTTGAATGATCCTCAAACCTGGAGAAGGCATTGGGTGGCAAAGAGATAGGAAAGAATTTGCCCCTGACCAGCAAAGCAGTACTGAATATCATCCTTCTCCGTTTCAAAATCTTGATCGTGTCCAGGTATTATCAGCGCACGAGGGTCGCCAACCGCGCTTAAGCAACTTCTTGTCCAGCATCACTGATATCCCAAGCGATGTGCCTTGTACGGACAGCTTGACCGAAACCCGCGGCGGGCGCGGCGCAGGCAACCAGAAACCCATCGCTCAGGATTTTCTAAAAGAAGCTGTCCCTGTAAGCTGCTAATCAGTGTCAATAGTAATATGATTATATATACCTGGTTGCAGATTCATGCCACAGTCGGAACTTAGACACCAAAAGCGGAATCAAACGCCCGGCTGATTACTCAGTGACTAGTAACTACGCAATTAGTGAAATATTGTGTATGGAGACGAATTTTCGTCGCTGGTTGGCTTCTTTGGGCGTCAGTACCCCATCGCCAACGTCTCAAGTGGATGTCGATCCTTCACCTGCCTTAACACTGAATGTTTCCCCGCCTCCTGTCGAGGACGATGAGGACGATGGCGACGCCACAGAAACTGACGATCGTCCACCAGCATTTCCTGCTTTGGGGAGCATTCAGCGATCGCAAGAAGTCGCAGGATTTCCCTCGCCTTCTGCGTCAGGTCCCACAGCCCGTGCGGCAGCAGAAGATTCAAGGAGAATGCCGCCGCCTTCCTTCTTGCCGTTACGACTCGGTGTTGCAAATGGTACCGTGGCCGTAGGGAGCTCTTCCTCGGGTGGACTTGCGCTTCCGCCATCGACTACGAAACCTCCCCCAAATGTGAATAAGAAAGCAAAGGTGCGGGAGAAAGTGGCACTTGCTCCAGGTCATTCTTCATTGGATTGGGCAAGACTGAAAGCTTCAGGAACGGATCTACGTGTATGTCCTGCTACCACTATTGTTATTCGTACAACAATCTCTGATCAACTCTCCAGGCTGGCGTCACAATCCTCCTTCGAATCACTCCTTCAGAACTGAAGCTCCATAACAAACACGATGATGCCTGGGCAGCTTTCGGTGGGAAGGTCTACAATATTACTCCATTCCTTCCATTTCATCCAGGTGGAGAGAAGGAGCTTTTGCGGGTTGCAGGGAGGGATGGTTCGAGGCTATTTGGTGAGTCAAGGATCGGAAACGCGACATGCTGTCTGATTTTCCCTACCTGCCACATTTGATAGCCCTGACTCATTCTTGGGTAAACCTTGACTACATGTTAGATGGTTGCGTGGTTGGACTCCTCGTTAAGGATCGATAATCGAGACATCTCTTATCAATGCCTAGACATCAGGAGTACGCACGGACGCTGTAATTAGGATCATGTTATGCTTGCAATAATACAATCTGGGATGCGCAGGTCGTCACTTGTGAGGAGGGGAAGCTGAACGTCTCTCATGCCTTCGAGAATCCCTGCCCCTCTCCCTTTCTCTTTCTCCTTTCCCCCATTCCCTATGATCCCTGTGGTCTCTGTAACTACGTCTGGTTTTCTCTTCCCTTCTTTTTCTGTCCTGAGTTGCTGATCTGTGATCCTCGTTACGGACCCTGTGATCCTCAGCTTGGGGCGTTGCGCATCCCTCATCCTCATCCTGACCCCCCGGTGAAAGGGTCTCTTCCTCAGCTTCCTTCTTCCTTTGCTTGTACGTCAGTTTTTTTACACAAGAAGGACACAGCACGAGCTTCACGAGAGCGGACTTTTGCTCCCCTCTTTCAACGTACGCGAAAGGAACTTCGAGCGTAGCTAGCTTAGGGGGTTCTACTCCTGGGTTGATACTGGGGATAGGGTGATGGTGTTCGCAGCGTGTATTGCCCGTAGCTAGCTTAGGGGGTTCTACTCCTGGGTTGATACTGGGGATAGGGTGATGGTGTTCGCAGCGTGTATTGCCGCATGTTGTCTCCCCTGTTCTTGCGACAACTTCGTCTTCGGTCCGCCAGCGTAAGGCGACCTATTTCACACAGACGGATAATGCCCGTGTCAACAGTGCGAACAGAAGTAATCCGTAAGAGCACCCACCCCGCCCATTTTGTAATGTTTAAGGTCGCAGACCGCGAACTCTTTGTAAAGAGATGCTTCATACTTCGCGGCGAGCTTCTCTTCCCATGGAAGAGTCGGAGAAGATGCTTCTTCTTCGCTTCGAAGGAAACTAGTGCACGTTGTGCCCAAATGTCGCCCTTCTGTTCACAAGGGGAAGGGCACAACGTACCGATGCCGCTCCTTTAACACATCAAAATCCGTTCTCTTTGTTACTGACGTAGAAGGTCGTGATGAGGAACCATACACATCCACATAGTCCCTAATGTACTTCTGGTGCCGTTCGTAGGCTGTGCCTGTGATGTTAGGCCGAAAGATAGATTTTGCGTGTTCAGATTGGTTTGAAGACATCGTGGGTGTTTTGCGCGCCTAAATCGAGATTGCTTCCGTATCATCGGTACCGAAACTGTTCTCAATCTGAATCTCACTTCCCCAAAAAATCTCATCCAAAGCGTGTATTTCGGTTTTGAATGGTGCCCGTTGCTCCTTACATAAATAGCGGGGACTCCTACAGCTCTAGATCTGTTGATGCGCCCCACTGAGATGTCGGATACCGTCGATTAGTTGGGTATCCGTATCTGCAGGCTTCGCCCTTAAATACATGTGTGAGTGGCAACAGTGATACGCGAAAGACAAAGGAAATGAGATGGGGCAAACTACAAAGGTAACTGGACGCTTTGTGTATAAGACGAAATGTTGGACTAGCGATGTTGTCGCTCAGTCCCGTTGCACGTGAACTAAAAGTATATTAGAATAATCACCTAGCGATGTTGTCGCTGGTGTACGAATATTAGATACACGTTTTATGGATGATGAACAAGAGATAACCAACATACCTCAGTCCCGTTGTACGTGAACTGAGGAAAGGTTGGGTTGTCCAAAAAATTGGGGTTTTATAGTCAGGCGCTATGAATGCGCACTGACTTTGGCACGGATGTCACCAAGAAAGGTAATAGGTGTAAATCTAAACACCACAGGACTCAACATCACCAAACGTGAGTTGGTCATAGTGAACACCATAGTACCAAGAATTCTAACATTGTGGTCCAGTGCCAAGTTGCAGGAGCACCCTGATGCCTCTCCCAAAGCTCAATTTGTCCAGTCCGAGCTCCTCCAATCTGGCGGTGATGTGCCAGGTGGATTACTGCCCCTGACCGCCTGTAGTGTTGGACTGCTAACTTCAACAAGATCTGTGTTTGGAAACCCTACAGCCAAACCTCCACTTGGAGTGATGTTGGTGTCAGGGGGACAACTCCCGGGTCCCCATGACCCTCCCCTATGGTCCACAGCCTGTGGTGTAACCAGCCTTATCCAGGGCACAACCTACTGTGGGTAAGAAGATGAGAAGGAAGCTAACTTCTCATCTTCCCACAGTGGCCACCATATCAGGAAAACTTCCGGGGATACCCGGAAGTCACATGAAGGGGTAGGAACCGGGCCCAGAGCATGCGGCATGCGGAGCGTGCGTGCATGCGGGAAGTGCAGCAGGTGGAAGTGGGTCCGGACGCGGGTCCGGGTCCAGGCTAGTCAGGGTGTGTGCCCTGACAACAGATGATTGTCTCATGATAGGGTCTACCACTATAGGTGTAGTGGCGAATCCTGGGCCAGATGAACAGGCTTTGTGTTATCTGGGGTGATAGAATCTGGTGGAGCTTAGTATAGAAAAATTGTATGATAATATGCCTTGGGCCTATGTCATATCCATACAATCCCGACCTCCGCTCTGGGCTCCCGGAACTCTGAAACTGACTCCGGAGCCCTACTTCCCTTTCGTCACCTTCTCCTTGCCACTCCCAAGAGGTTATCCCACCTCCAGCTCCGACACCACCTTTGGTCCGACTCCGGAACATTCCGGGTCTGACCTCAACCTCGACACCTCCCAGATGAGCATGCAACACCTATGCTCCTGACTCTGGACCTCCACTCCAGAATCCTGTTTGCATCTCTGTCTCCGGAACCTCCGGTCTTAGCTCCGACCTCAGACTTTGACCCCACCTCCGCTTATACCCATTGTATTGGTTAGCTCATTCCATTTAATTATGTTTGCCAATATTCTGGAGTTTAACTTCCGAGTTCGGACTTTCTGGACTTACATCGGACCTTGCAACTATTGCATTGCTCCATTCAATTCTGCTATTCTCCCTCATTCCTATTTGGGCTGCTGCTTCCTTTCTATTCAGTCAGCTGGCCATTCCCCACTCCCATCCTCCTTCCATCCTCCTTGGGCCTTGGCCCTTCACTCCTCCTTTGGGAAACACCATTGAGTCAAACCCTTGACCCTCAGTGTTGTTCCTCTTTCCAGCTCCCTTTGTCTCCTTTCGGAGTACCCTTGCTCCTTTTGATTCTGGACCCCTCCTTATATACAATGTACATAGTAACTTGTAACCTCAGTCCGAAATCGACTTGATTTCCCCCCAAGAGACTTCCCCTCTGCTAGATCCGAAATTAGGGACCCCTAGGACAACCAGCAATGGCACAGCGCTCCGCATGAGTTGCTGAGGCTGAGGTCCTTCCACACTAAGTCTCCGATTCCATTCCGGAGTCGTCCGAATCTGCCCACATCTAACAGCCTAGCCCCATGCTCTTCAAGCCCCTTAAGTGGGAGTAGTACAAGCATGTAAAATATCCAGAGTTAAACAAACAAACAAAACAACAATTGTCCATCCAGTCATTATGGGGAAACACCTTGAGCCTGGTGCAAAGGTGAAAGGGTTTTGCTTACTTGTTTGGGGACAGTAACGTTCCGTTCCCCCGTTCACCTCAGGTGTCATATCTGTACATACACCTGATCCCGATCCAACTCCTGGACCCTCCGCTTCATCACCTCCAGAGTCCTACCCTATCTCCATCTGCTCCAATATCCACCTTCGGACTGAACATCACTCTTCTCATTCCTCCCCTCACTCCTCTCCTTCTGTCACTCTTCCACCAAACCTCTGTCAAGTTACGACCTTCCGCTGCAGTCCCATACCCCATACTCGGACACCGCCTGTACCTTCACTCTGAGATTCCGTCATGGTCCTGACCTCGGACTTTGACTCCACCTCAGCTTAAGTCCATTGCATTGGTAACCTCATTCTATGTAAACACCATTGCCAGTATTCCTCGGACTTTCAACCCCACCTCCGCAACCTCTGTAAGCTCCACAACCTCCAAGCTCCACGGACCATACCCAGCACTTTCGCTGCTTGTAATGTATCTTTCACGCTTTCCCCTCATCCTTATTTGGGCTACTGCTTCCTTCCATTTTAGCCAGTTAGTCATCATCCCCACTTCACCTCATTCTCCTGCCCCTCTGGGCTTCACCCTCCCTATCTCCTTTTAGATGTACCCCAGAGTCCAACCCATGACCTTCGGTACCGCTCCATTTCTGTCACCCCTTTGTCTCTGTTCGGACGCCTTTGTTCCAATTCGGATGCCCTTTGATTCCTTGTGCTTTCATCTCTCCCCTATATACAGGCACTTGTACATACTCGTTTTAGGCCCTCAGTCTAAAATTGACCAGAAATGCCCCTAGAGACTTCCTGCTCACTGCTTCTGAAATTAAGGACCAAATGGACAAACAGCAATGGCACAGCGCCTGGCTCCAACATAACGTCCAACACAACCTCCGGTCCGACTCCGGTTTACTCTGGGTCCGATCCCAACCTTGTACCTTCCAGACCAGAGTTGTGATGCTCCATACCTCCAGCTCCGGACTTCTGTACCGGAACCCCATTACACCTCCACCTCCGGAACTCCGGTCACATCTCCACCTCTGGACTTTGACCTCCTCCTCCATCTTATCTCCTTATATTGGGGGTGGGCAAGCAAAGCTTGCCCACGGGACTGCTTATGTAAGCTAGACTGGCTGCAGAGCAGCCTGTGGAAGTATAGTTTTATAACTCATCACAAATGTCTCATGCAACAAAAAGTTGAATCAAAAGTTACTTGGAATCGTAAAAGCTGATAATTGGACTGAGGAATTGTAAAAAAAAATGAGTTCTCATGGCTCTACAACCGTTCTTGACAACCAGAGCATTTTACAAAAATCCAACAGTCCGAATTATAGAAAAAGACCCTCTACACATCCAGGAGAATTTCTACATGCTTAGCTGCTGTCAGGGCAATAGCCCTGAACCCCGAGCCACATGTAATTAGATACATATAGTCACATGGGTAAGCGGGAACCTCCGGGTAACTGCTTACACACTACCGTAAAATACACACATTTGTATCACTTACGGCTCTGTGTGCTGAGCTACCCCAGAGACCTCACACTTTTTTAAGTGTATGAGGTGTGTTTTACAACACAACCCACAAAAAACTATCCATTCTTAACATCTGACTCGGTAGCGCCTGTGGCACCTAAACACGCCTGCAAGGGCAAGGTCGCATCTGCAGCGACGCTAAAAAGAAACGAGCGGTTTATTAAGAAACCACAATCTCCCATCATGGGAGATTCAAACCAAAAGCCGTCGTCAGACAACGATGAGGATCAACATGATCCGGCAGTAGCAACCACCTCAGGGTGGCCCCTGAAGGTTTTAGAAACTTACGTGGAGTAAGTGCAGGGCCTAATACCCCTAGAACTCCATGACATACCGATCTAACCCAAGCTGGGGAAGATCCCTCACCTCCTCACGAGGTGATTGACTTGTGCGATAAATGCATAAGTGCCGAACGATCAGCCCAAAAAGCTGATCGGATAGAATCGCAGGAAACTCCAGGCCCAACTATCCCCTGGAGTCCCCCCTCATGTCCCCAAGTCAAGCCCCAAAGGCAGACAAAGGGAAACAAAGGGAAGAGCCCCCGCGTCGGCTATCCGAAAAACTACTGGACTTGTTCCAGGTTCCGTCTGAATGGAGGACAGAAAGCGAAGACCAACTTCTTCTCAGGCTGAAAGCCCGAGAAGGCATGAAGATACGCCCTGAGAGCAGGATCTCCCAGAGCGCGGAAGCTCCAAAAGAACTTCTGCTGTTTACACTCCCACATGCCATGCCAGACAAGGCAAGGTCGCCAACCTCAGAGGAGGTCTCCGAGATAATGAAGAGGAGGCGAACTGAAATGAGGGAGTTCGCTGAGGAAGCCTTATGGAAAAGTAAGGAAAAACCAGTGAACAGACCCCTCTATGAAAGGGAAGCACCCTCTGCAATGGCCTCACCTAAACAAAGCAAGCATGGAGCGTTCACTCCAAGAACCCCTTCTGGAACCCCCAGAAGCGGTAATGTCAACTGGGGAGAGTCACTGCTCGCCCAACCAAACTTCCTCCTGGAAAACCAGGAATCGTGCATAATAAACGCGATAAACTCGATCCAAAAAAAGATCGAGGAAACGAACCACAATAGTACAGCTCGTCTAGAGATAACTCT